GCCATCCATCCAATGACCGACATTTGCAAAAGTTGCTTAACTTCCGTCATCGCAGACCGAACGCGCTAACCACCAGTGCATTTGAGCTCCTTAGCAAATCCAAGTCACGACAATTATTTGTTCTTATGTGCTGTAAAAAAATATCGCCAATCACCACTTTACGTACTGTTATGCTGGTTCAGACGGGTGGTATTTACTATTTAACCCAATCAATTCAAATGCAGAGTCTTCTGCACCTTTGATGACCTGTCGATCACGGATAAAGATTTTCTTTATTAAAAAATCTTGTTCAGCGTAAGTAGTGTTTTGGTTGAAACAATCGTGTCATCCATTATTACTATTACAGGAATATCGATACATTTGTCGATACCTGCACAACACTGATATTTACATGAGGAGTAAGATTGGTTGATTTAAATACTTGCAAAACGGGGCTGTGGGAAACTCACTCTTGTTACAATTATAATAATAATTACGAAGGATGTCATAATGCGCCTTTTTTCTATTGAAGAAGCAGCTGCTTTTTCCCATATGTTTTTAATAAATATTAATTTATTTTAACGGGAGAATTCATCAAGCTTTATTTTTGCTTCAGCGTTTACAAATTATTAACTTTTTATCTGCTATTATGATGTTGAAACTTTAACTAATGTAAGACAAAGAACATTGGGCAAAAATGTATGGACGCTGCACCCACATCCGCCAGGGCTTAAACTACATTTGTTTGAAAGGTATTATAGTCATGATCATCTGTGCTTAAGCGCATCAAATTCCATTCCGGGGGTCTTTAGTTATTTTAAGTTAAATATGTACAACTACTATAACGAACGAACACTAATGAAACAAGGGAATTAATTTAGTTAGTTCGACACTACAAAGGGTGCTCAGGAATTATGGGAGTACTTCGCAAGGTGCAAGGGTGCCCCCTTATGTTATTCTGCCGCGGTAGAGTAAATCCAAAAATCCCCGCGTGGGTTGGGTTTTTTTTAAACATTCTCATCGTTATAGTATATTGTCTTCTATGTAAAACAGAGCGACCACAGATTACATAAACTTATCCACGCTTCGGAGAACACATGATTCCAGTTCATCTATACTAATTGACAAAACCGATAATCGTGTTCCAATATCCAAAGCGTTTTAGATAAAAACCAATCAAGTAGTAGGGAGCGCACAATCACAATGAAGAATCACTGCAAGTCCTTCAGCATCCGTAACCAGTTTTGAAATGTCTTAGTAAGAGCAAGCGCAGAATGGTCGGCCGGCTTTTCGTATATCTGGTTGTATATATATAGTTTGTACGATATGGTATATTATTATGATTACTAATAATATAAAATGAAGGTACTATAAAATGAATTTATTCAGCTACTTGAATATGCCCATGTGTCATATCTATTGACTAGCAAGATATTTTTACGGTGTCATATCTTTTGACTCCCAGGATATTTATTTTCGGTGTCATAATAAAAAAGGCTGGTTTTTCATAGATCTATCGATTCATACTAATTACATTGTTGGCGGAGCTGGGTGTGTTTTGCCCATTGTCCTTTCGGGCCGGTTGTTGCTGTTAGTTTTGTAACCTCAGGGTCGCAATCTCCGAGCAATTTCGCACAGAATCAATGGATTGCTAAAAGGCAGTTTTGTCTCAGGCAGGAGTATTATATACACTTCCAGACACATCTATCGGTCCACTTAGTGTTATAAGTTTCAACGGTCTCGCAAAAATATAATTGAGGTAGGTTGAGCAATCATATTTTTTTTAAAAAGCACATATTAAAGATGTTTAATAAATCAGCTTTAAAACTGCGTTAAACTTTTTGCTCAATGTAACGTTTGTTTTTAGCTAGGGACCGTTAAAACCATAAAGAACAAATCTAACAATGCTAGGAGGACCGATAGATGTGCCCGAGTGCATAGAATAGAAAGATTATTCATCCTAATCCTTAAAAAAATCTATAATTAATAGGGTATTTGACAAGTATTATAATAATAAATAATAAATATTTCTAACACTCACACCAATTAGCCTAGCCCCAAAGTAAGCACTGTAAGGCTTGTGTTATGGGATACTAGGGTAACGGATAGAATACATATTATACTGTACATATATAAACATATTTATATTGAAATACATATTAAACATCCATGACTGGAGTACAAATGCTCGTATTCATCACACAAACATCTGCCCCCACCGGGATTCGAACCCGGGACCTCTCGAGTCGGCGACACCATAAAACCCGGCGTACAAACCACTCGGCCAAGGAGGTCGTCAAGAATTAGAAAATGATCTCACGTTATTGACTAATGTTTATGGAGTCCGTAAAAAGTGGATATTCACCATTCTGTTGTGTATTTCAGTAAAAATAACCAAATCAAAAACTCCAATTTCAAGTTGCCGTGAAAACGTTTCTCTGGACAATATGGCGTCGCACAGGTGTGACGTCACACGACTGTTATTTAAACGTCAAACGATACAATGTAATGTCACTTTAACCGGAAGTTTACTTGCGTGTGACGTCATTTTAGGCTCCGCCAATCCCAAAGCGTTTTGGGTCACGTGACAATAGATAAGAAAACTATTAACTTTTTCGTGGGTTTTTGTAAAATAATGAATATTTTTTCTGTTATAATAGTGAAAATCCCTGCCAATATTCATGATTAACATAGATGCTAACAATTGGAAGTTTATTTCTAATACTGTCAAATACCCTATTATTGAAAAATGAAATGGTTGTTAATACTAACGACTGCTCTCACGGGCGTTCATTATTTTCAACTTGGATTTAAGTACATCCTATAACAGTTTTTTTTTGAGGAGATCTGCCGTGGTGTTTTACTTGGAGTACTTGGAGAAGAAATTTTGATAAATTTTGGTATTTATAAACGTGTCGTACATATGACACCTAGCTCCTCCTCCAGAACCTTTCTTGCGATACTGACTTTAATTTGGCCGATTTATTAATAAATTTGTTCAGGTAACAAAGTAGTTAAACAGAACAGCTGAATCTAATAATTTAAGATATGCGGAAAATTTTAAGTTCAATCCAGAATCGCCACAAGTGTAAAGACTTGCTGGATTAACGTTTAACTTGTTGGAACGACAGCAACTTATACACAAACTTTAACTTTTTTTACACATTTTTATTTATTATTATTTTACTCATCAAACAAATTACGAGGAAGTTTCAAGTATAAATTCTATTATATTTTTATTCGAACAAAAGCTATCTTTGAAGTTTAAAAGTAAATAATTAATAATTATCTTTAATGCGGCTCGCTACCGCGAACATTTTCGATTTTCGAGCGTTTTTCAAAGGAGATTGCTCAGCTTCCATACATGTTCGGCCTAAAGACCAATAATCATGAAAAATTGTTTCCTAGATTCGAGATTAATATAAATTACCATAGAAACGAATATTATTGACGGACACCCCTGAGAACTTCTATTAACCATATACACTGAACGATTTTGAGGTTATGTTTGCCAATTGGTACATAGGTATTAAAATAATAAAAAACAAATAAGTTATATAGTAAACTAGGGAAATCAAGCCAAGTACCAAAATTATGTATTAGATTCAGGTATATAAAACATGTAGATTAACAGATAGTTGCCTTTTTTTAAAGTTAATGCACAAGAGTAACTTTTTAAACTCAGGTATCATCAATGCATTTCCGGTTATAATAAGGTACTCTGTGACAGAAACTGTGTGATGATTGTGAATGAGCCACAGATTAGAGAGAATTTTTAAACTCTCGTCAACCAAAGAAAGCTCAGAGATTTAGGTTATACAGCCATATCTTCAGTAGCTTCATTATTTTTGTTATGTTTATGTTATAACCATATTTTAGATTTTTAGCGTATTACACCTTATAATATATGTTAATGGAGGTGTATGGTGAAAAATGTATGGCAATAGACTTTATGATGTCGCCTACCATTTATAATAATTGTCTTGGCACATTTGCATGTAGTAAAAATGATAATATAGTTGTAGATATTAATACCACAGTGTAATTAAAAAAATGATTTATTTTATCGATCTTTACAAAATAAATTTGATTTTATATTATATAAACAACTACGATCAGTTTTTGGCTGATTGTTACTACACCCAAAGCCATTAAAAATGATTCATATGTTTTCCAAACCGGTAAAATTAAAAGTCCTTTTTAAAATGAATATATTATACAAAGGTGTCTGTTAAAATCTAATGACTGTAAAATAAAGTATAAATTACGCCAAGAATTACCGTATATGTCAATATTTTTTGTGCATTTGGGCCAATTTGAGAAATCTCCTTTCTTGCCCATGTCTTGAAAAGTTTACAAAAATAAAAACCTAGCGAAATTTGATATCCAAGACTATAGACAGATAGCAAAATTTTGTTTTATTTACCATTTTTATATTAAAACTGATAAAACTGCAGAATATCTAAAAACCAGCTCCTGTTTTGTTACTTGGATTTAGTTGAAAATTAAAGAAAATACGGCAATGGTATTTAAATGTTTTAATAACTATATGCCAAGAACATAATCAATTGCTTGAGATCAAAAAGGTTAGATAATAATTAGAAATCTTTCAGTTATATTTAAAATAATATTTTTTGTTACCACTATGAACATTTTCTGACTCTAAAGTTTAATTCTATAATAATAAATACAGGTACAGAGTATTTTTTGTACATTACAACTAGAACAATACGAGTAACTATAATAATCGGTCATTTATTTTAGTTTAGAAAGCTAAATAGTGCAAAAAATATTTCATTGAAAATTGTTCACTATTGGGACAGATAGCATAAAACATAAAACAATTGAGAGTAACAAAATCTGAATTGTGAGGCCCCATATGTAAGCAAGCATAAATTAAAAACTATAATATAACAATTAACTAAGTAATGATAACAATTTATAATAATTTAAATATATTATTTTAATATAATGTTACTAATACTATCAAGACTGTCATGGCACATTTATGATAGCTATTTTCAGTTCTAAAGAAATGAACATAATTGACTTACAATTAATTAATCTTAATATCTTTATTTTTTAATTAGATCGCTTGTTTTTGTACCTATACTTTGGCAACAAAGTCTCACTCACAATATACATATTTTTTAAATATCAACCTTTAATCACCAATAAAACTAATTCAAATTAATAGGCTGACCCTTTTTGTATTTTTTTGAGACCTAGAAAGCTACAAATCTTAAATTTTAAAATAGACTTTTCATGGACATACAAAGACGCTGTCAGCCATTTTAGTCTGTAGATTATCTATGCTATAACGTCAACCGGTAGTAAACAAAAACTCGTAAGCACGTAGAAAATAACCTATCTGAGTTTATAATAAAAAAAAAACATGATTTCTAATAAATAACACGAAAAATATAGTAATTATCATTATTGTATTGAACGAGAATGTAAAAACACACACTGCAACTTTATCGACTCATAGAATGATCACTTTGATGTAAGTACTCATTGAATAATATTTAAGTCTCTTCATTTATTATCAGTTTTAATAATACAAGTTTTAAGGTTATGTATGAATGACATTTAGTTGTTTACTACCAAAGAGACGTCACAATCATGGCGGATGTGGCGAACAGCGTGTTTAGTGTTTAAAAAGTATAGAAATGAAATGAAAGTTTATTTGCATGAAACATGGTTTGTTACAGCTGGTAAACAATATTAAAAAGTTCCATATGTTTCGCCCTTGTAAGAGCATACAAAATACTAATAAAATATCTAAAAATTCAAATAAATTGAGTTACAGTTGCATTCCAAATGTCATAATAACTATACATTATATTACACATAATAATCATATAATACATGTCAATTTTTTTAAGTCAATAGCCATTTCTTCATTATGTCATCAAAATTACAAATTATTAAATCATAATAAAAATTCATTTGTACTTTAAAAACATTTACTTATTAACCAGTCCCGTAACTTTTTTGCCATTAATTTTATAGGTCCGTGCTTGAATTTTTGTACCGATTGTACTTTTTTCATTTACTAACACTAGAATAAGATTTCGTCTGTTACTAACACTTTTATATGGATTTAAAGTCTGAAATAAATGTTTATTATTATTATTATTGAATTGATTTGGAATTCTATTGTATACCTTAATACACATGTTATAAGAGCTTTTCTGGTACACTGAGGTTTTTGGTGCAAAGTCCAAAACAAATCTATCACCATCTCTAGTGTTTCGGGGGTATATATCTTTGGCCTAAAACTTCTTTTTTAAAATTAAATTTCTACATTAATCTTCTGCTTTTATGAAGTGAAATCGATATATTTAGGTTACTTAGACCAAATACTTTAAGAAATAAACATTTATTTAATACAATTCGAATTCGACATGAGTCAACTAGCCTATTCATCGATATATATGTACTACGTACAAGATGCGTTCCGAACATCGACTAAACTGTACTGCATGCATGCAGTACACACTTCTACACATTGTATGGATGGCAGTACAGTTTAGTCGAACAAAGTCGATGTTCGATAATTGCATATCATTCACTATCTATCTATACTGTCTGTGTATCTATCATTGAAGACAGAGAAGACAGTATTATTAGTACTTATTTAAATTTAAGTCTGCTAACGCGGAACATTTAATTGATTCGGGTCCTAATCACTGGATTGATTTCCATAATCCACAAATTATCTCGACAGAACGCCACTACATACAAAGATTGGTCAGAGAAACGATTGAAATAACCAAACACAAAAAAATTCAATCGTAAGGATGGGTTTAAATTGTCAAGTATCTGGAATCCAGCGGTTCGTATGTGCAAAAACCGCAAAAATTAAAAAACTGTAGTTCCGCCATCTGATACTGTGAGTATAGTGGTTGTATCATGATTGGGGAGCGCAGTATAGGACGACGTTAGAGCGTAGACCGATATGTCTGCCAATAAAATCTACCCGCAATTACTTCAGTTACTCCGTGATCATGGCGCTTGCAACAGTGCCGAAATATCGGAGACTCATAAAAAACGAGGTACATGGTAACAATCCCGTTAACAGCTATAATGTGAATAAGTTTCATTGGCGATAAAAGACTGAAAAAATGTATATAGTTGTGACTGAGACTTTGTTGCTAAATTATATAAATACCGTTACAAGTTTTAAACATTTGAAAAAATAATTTTAAATTATAATTATATTTTATTTTTTAAGCGTGTAAGTGCTACATGTTTAAATCTAATGAAAATTTTTCTAGGAAAAGTTCCACGCTGACCAGGCAGCAGACGGGACTCAAACCCGCGCTCACCTTTGTCAAAGACAAAACTACACTAAGCTAAAGTGTCACAGAAATCGTATCTGGTCTGATACAATTAATCGTACTGCTGGTTTTCCACGGCGAAAGTACGAAGCAGCATGAAGTAGGAAAACGATGTCTTTAGGATCTGTGAAAACAAACACCATAATCATTACTTATATTTACACATGAAGGTACAAATTTTGTACCACATTTAAGCTCACTTCGCGCTCGGAGCACTGTTTGCATAATAATTAAAGTTTATAAAGAAGGAGTGCAGACGACTACCTTAATATTTTTGCAACAACGACTTTTGCACACTAATAAATAATATTTTCGATAACTTTAAATAAGTACGGAAAAGAATTACTATTTAACTATATAATGCCTTTTAATAATGTATTTTGGTTATTATATTTTATTTTTTAATGTTCATTGTAAGTGTAGTAGTTATTAGATAATAGTATATTTGTTAATTATATTAACATATAAACTTCATATGTAAAGACCTAATAATAATAAATAAATGTATAAGTAAAGCAAACGACTTTTGCACACAAAATAATTATTTCCGATAACCTTATAAAAACTGGTGAGATATTATTCTATATTTGATAACCGGGTTATGATCTCAAGTTATGTTGCAAAAAAAAACAATTTTTCTAGAAATACAATACGACCTAGACTAGAGTATTAGGCGAAATCGAACCAGAATTCGAACTATGCAGGTGAGTGCACTACCGTGATCTTCATAGAATTATCTCATTTCGTTCCGTATGTAGCTACGGCTTATTTAGAGTGATACCGGGGCCACGTTGATATTGTCCCAGAAAATGTATTTCTGACTGACCATAGATCAACAAAGCTCACACAAATACTGACCCACAAAGCCGTTTTGACACTCACCGCAATGGATATTTTCCATAAAATTCCTAATGATATAGATGTTAATCAATATGTCTCTGAAACACAACTCACAGCAGCCATTGTTTGCACTCCAACGGAAACTATGCCCATGGCCTTGAATTCCATCGGATTTTGCGCGTTGAGCAGGAACACAGCAACCATCTTCCTGTTGCTGGCGGACATCCTCTCCCATGGAACGCTGTACACAGCGTTCATCACCTTCTCGGACTAGTAACAATATTCTCTTTAACAACGGTCGAAAATTAAAGGGTCTATGAGACCTTAACTTAACGCTTAAGCTTAACATGTGTCTATCTGTGTATACCGTCTGATCTAAATTATTTTGGATGTATTTGTTTCTTAGGTTTTCACGCACATCACTCATTAAATAAAACTAGTTTTATGGGTTAATGCACGAAAACTTTATTATTTATTGACGTTTCGTAGTCTTTACAGGCAACGTCAATAAATAAATAAAGTTTTCGTGCATTAACCCGTAAAAACTAGTTTTATTTTCGATGTGATTTTTTGTTATATTAAAGCTGATGTAATCTATGATAATGTGTTTTGCTATAGCATATAGAAAACTTTTTGAGAGATTTAAGAGTCATTAGCTCATTTAATATTTGGGAAATGTGTCTGCTTTCAAAGACCAGATTTTTTTACATTTTACTACACACCTACGTTAGTGCCTTTTGTCACGGTAATATTATCTATACAGTATTGTGACTCGGCCCTGTCGTTGAAATAAATGCCTACGGCGGCCGAGCGGGGCGTGGACAAGCGGTAGGGCTGTCCGCCTACAGTATTTTAATTTATCTACTATTTTGATGTTTTTTTTTCAGTTTTGTGATTGTAAATATTCTATTTTATATGTAAAAAAAATTGTTGTGAATGAATTAGGAAGTGTTCAATAAAAAAACATGTTATTTTTAGGTAATATTTAATAAAAAAAATATAGATTTGAGACAGAAAATTATTTACGCCTCGACTGAGACGTACGAAAAGCTTTATTATTAAAGGACAATAGCAAAACACACCCAGCTCCACCAACATTGTAATTAGTACGAATCGATAGATCTTTGAAAAACTAGCCTTTTTTATTATGACACCGGAAAAAAAAATCCTGGGAGTCAAAAGATATGACACCGTAAAAATATCCCGGTACCTAGTCAAAAGATATGACACATGGGCATATTTAGGTAGCTAAATAAATTAATTTTATAGTATCTTTATTTTATATTATTAGAAACCATAATAATATGCTATATCGTAGTAAACAACCAGATATACGACAAACTCTGCCGATCCATCCAGCGCTTGCACTTACTGAGCCACCTCAAAGCGGTTAACGGGGGTTGAAGGACTTGCAGTTGCAAATAGTGGACTCGTCTTACTTCGTTGTGATTATGCGCTCGCTGTCACTTAATTGATTTTCATTTAACACGCTTGGGACATTGGAACACAATTATCGGTTTTGTCAAACCCTTAAACCTTGTGAAGAACTCCCATAATACCTGAGCCCCCTATGTAGTGTCGAACTAACTAAATTAATTCCCTTGTTTCATTAATGTTCGTTCGTCATAGTACTTGTACCTATTTAACTTTAAATAACTAAAGACTCCCGGGATAGAAATTGATACGCATTGGCACAAATGATCATGACTATAACATCTTTCAAAAAAATGTAGTTATAGCCATGGCGGACGTGGGTGCAGCATCCATACATTTTTGCCCAATGTCCTTTAATAGTATAATAAATACGCATTCGTATAAAAAGTTTAATTAAAAATACTTTAGGGAAACATTGACAAGGAGCAGTAAAGGGAATATCTTTAACTTGATTATATATACCTGCAGCTACTTTACAATTGATATGTTTTTTTTAAATGATGTCCGGAATATTTCCTCCATTTTTTCTACATATTTCATGAAATCATTACTAGGTACTATTAAAAAAGTTTGTATATTAACCTTACTATAGTGTAGGTATCTACTTAATTCAATCAAATATTCACAATAAAAAATCGCACGTTTAAGCACGGCTAACTGCATAAAAAACAATTCACACCGTTCGGTCGTCGCTGCGGCGTATTCGCGACTGGGTGCCCACCGAGAGTCCCGCGAACTCGAGTGGCGTAGGTATGACACGCTTTCCGACCGTTTGTATGAAGATAGAATACTGTATAGAAAAATATTACCGTGCTTTTGTTCCGCATTCTTGATGCTACAGCATTAAATAGTTCGCAAGCTGCACCCGTGGGCTCATAAAATCACATTACTGACATGAATTGCAAAAGGGAGTTTCTTGTACTTTTTTACCTTAGCCCTAATTGTAATAAGTGCATTTTAGTAGATAATAACAAATCCTAAGTCCATGACAGATTAAGTTATCCGAAACTCTCAGATCTTTTCAACTTACTCTGAGTTTCCCATATTACTGCTCTACTTATGGGAATTGGACAACGTGTGGTAACTTGATGTATTGTTGACTTTTACACAACACAAATAAAAGCACACCTTAGATGTCACGAGTTCCACAACGACGGACATTTGTATCAACTGCTGCATTACCATGAAAGTGAGACATCCGTACTTAGAAAGAGAAGAGGCATCCTGAAAAATATTTAAACAGTTATGTTACAGACGTTTCTATCATTTAGATTTAGAGACTAGTTTTCTTTTGTCTCCAATAACTAAACTTTGTTAAAATTTAATTATTTGTAATATAATTCTACTACATGAGTGCAACGTATGATCAACTCTTGAATTGGGTAATATTGACATACCTTTTAAAGCATGTGCACTAACATTATTCATAGACGTAATAAATCCAAATTATTAACAAACCAATTCCGAGCACGCGAATAGTAAAATGCAGAGACTGACTTGATGGAACAAGTAGAGCGCACAATACGAGGAACCGAAAGTCACCGCGTACTTGTCCAGGAACCTGAAGGAACATTAATAATACATAATCATAAATATTATTATTATTTTAATTACATTTTTTCAAAGAACTTACTTATTGATCATAATGTAGTGTTCAATATTTTCTATTAGTATATTTTTAATCATTTTGTCTTCCTCTGAGCTATAAAATAGAGGGTCTTCCTTCACTTCGAACTGACTGCTTGTCTTGGGAACAGGAACATTATTCAAGTTGTAAATCAATATTTTGATATGACCCCACACATGAAGCATGATTAGTGATGATAAGCAATCGAATATGAGAAGACAAATGGCACAGTCAGCAGTCAAATAAATTTGTATGATCGTCATTGGGATGTAATCGTACAATGTCTTTGAGATGGTATCAACAAAAGGAAACGCTATATTGAAAGAAGGTTCAAATGTTCCATTAACGGGCCGGTTGGAGCTCAACATCCCGGCCCTGTAATTATTCACTATTGGTGGGATATTAAACATTAACACGGTCAAAGTTATTTCTACGACTAGCATTGTTGTAAATAGCATGCAGATTGAATGGACACGATCACTTATCTGTAACAAAATGGAGTGAATAATCTCAAAAATCAGTAGCGATAAACTAAATAAATAAATAAATATTTTTAACACTCACACCAATTAGCCTAGTCCTAAAGTATCAATTCAAAATTCAAAATTCAATATCATTTATTCAGTCTAGGCTGTTACAAGCACTTGTGAATGTCGAAAAGCTACGCCATCGGTTCGCAAATCTACGGCGGGAGACCTTGTACTGAGAAGAACCGGCAAGAAACTCAGCAAGGGCTGTTTTTTTCTCCCTGTATTATATACAGAGTCGTCAATTTGAAAAATGAGTTCAATATGAGATAACCCATGAAGTCACTTTCCATTACAAATGTAAATAATAAAACAATTATGACTATAAAATAAAAAATATAAAAAACAGATTTAAAAATGAAAAAAAGTTTAGGAATGCCGTGTCCCACTGTTTAGGCATAAAAACAAATGTACCATTAAAGTTAAATACAACGATTAATAGTACCCAATGTAGCAAGAGCAGACTCATCTCCGCTGGCAGCACCCGTTCACGAGCATGACGCATGAACCAGCCATCGCTTCGCTCAACCATTTTTTAGGGAACGTAACGACCCGCCTCACACGACACCGCCGAAGAGATTTTTAAGAGAGTATGACTACCCATAACCACATATGGATACTAGATAGCAAAATAGGGAAAAAAAAATTAAGTACCAGTGTACATTACTATAAAAAACTATAAACACAACTGTAGGACACATGCATGTGGTTACCTAAACACTAGTGTCGACTCTGCCACTACCCTCCAAACCCAAAACCAAACCCAACATCAGTGCCCCCCCTTCACTCTGTATAGAGAATGATAAGGATACACCGCTGCAAAACCAAAGTTCAGGTCTAGAGAACCATGCCAGAATCCACACCACCATTAAATCTTTATCTCAGAAATAATAAATGTTCACCTAAATTTTTTGTTTCTGATTGCCGTGCCATACAGTATAAATACAATTACAAATAAAATTTAACTTAAATAATTAATTATCATTATAATAATAATAAAGTAGTATAGAGCAGACTCATCTCCGCTGGCAGCACCCGTTCACGAGCATGACGCATGAACCAGCCATCGTTTCGCTCAACCATATTGTAGGGAACGCAACGACCCGCCTCACACGACACCGCCGAAGAGATTTTTAAGAGAGCATGACTACCCATAACCACTCAAACCAAGCAAAATAGTTACTTAGAATTCAGGTAATTTATCTGTACGACACTGCAAACAAATACAAAACAAATTTACAGTTACAGCCATGCAGTTTTGTCATTTAAGTATTCTTTAATAGTATAATAGCCTTTCTTAAGTAAACAATTTTTAATGTGACACTTGAACTCATTTATGGGTAACTCAAGAATGGCATCAGGAATTTTATTATAAAAATGTATATCTTGACCCATAAAAGATCGGTAAACCTTCTGTAACCTGTAGGGTGGCAATGCAAGCTTATTTCTATTCCTTGTGTTAAAATTATGCACGTTACTGTTTTTGGTATACAAATTGATATTATTTTTCACGAGGAGTATACAATTGTAAATGAATTGAGAAGCAACAGTCAAAATGCCGATTTCTTTAAATTTTTCTCTAAGAGATGTTCGGCTACTCAATTGATAAATAGATCTCACAGCTCTTTTTTGTAGAATGAATATACTTTCAATATCAGCTGCTGTTCCCCAGAGTATAATGCCGTATGATAAGATACTATGAAAGTAACTAAAATATACAGTCCTGGCAGTTTCTGTATCAGTAAGTTGTCTTATCTTTCTTATGGCATAAGCTGCTGAACTAAGTTTACCAGCCAAAAGCGTAATGTGATGATTCCATTGCAGTTTTGAGTCTATAGTTATACCCAAGAATGTAGTTGAGTCTACTAAATCTAATTTATTATTATTTAATTTAATTTCAATATGTTCGACTTTTACATTAGGTAAAGAAAATTTAATACACTTGGTTTTATTAGCATTTAGCTTTAGATTATTAACATTAAACCATTGCAAAACTTGCGAGAGAGCATTATTAACATCGTCATAGTTGTTCTTGCGCCTGTCAACGTTAAATAATAAAGATGTGTCATCAGCAAATAATACTATCTCACACAAATTTTCTACAAAAAATGGCAAATCATTTATATATACTAGAAACAGAAAGGGACCCAAAATTGAACCCTGGGGAACGCCCATTTCCACATGAGATCCAGATGATCTAACACCATTTACCTCTACAGTTTGAATTCTGGAACTGAGATACGACTGTATTAATTTATATGCAGTACCTTTGACTCCATAATGACTTAATTTCAATAACAGCGTGTGATGATCAACGCAATCAAAAGCTTTGGATAAGTCACAGAACACTCCAAGAACATTCTGCGACCTCTCCCAAGCCTCCAATATACTCCTTACAAGTGCAACACCCGCGTCAGTAGTAGATCTACCTCTGGTAAAACCAAATTGTTTCCTATGCAAAAGTTTATTTAGGTTGAAATGAGGCATTAATTGTTCCAGAATAATTTTCTCAAATATTTTACTTAGAACCGGTAATATTGATATAGGCCTATAATTTCCAGGTTCACTTCTATTTCCTGATTTAAAAAGAGGTATAACTTTACTGTATTTCATCAAATCCGGAAATATGCCTTGATCAATACAGTTATTAAATATATCAACTAGATAAGGGGCAATAACGGGTATTATACTTTTAATAACTTTTAATAACTACTATCTACTGCAAGGCTTATGTTATGGGATACTACGGTAACGGATAGAATACATATACTGTACAATATATATTTATATAGAAATACATATTAAACATCCATAACTGGAGTACAAATGCTTGTATTCATCACACAAACATCTGCCCCCACCGGGATTTAAACATTCTTGAGTCGGCGACACCATGAAACCAGACATACAAACCACTCAGCCACGGAGTTCGTCGATAGAAATAATGTTATAGGTTCAACATTTTTCGAATAAGTACCTCCTTGTAATATTTAGATTTGTGTTGGTGGAGTAATAGATGAAGTTCAGTAACAAACTGTTTCAATAGTTGCTGGAACTTTGGTCTCCACGTTACAGTAGCACGATACTGAAATGCAAAAACAAGCACATATATGAAATGAATGCGCGAATGAAAGTTTAATCGTATTTGACTGATTTTAATAAAGTTAAGGGAGAAAATGGAGCAGAATTGATAAAGTAATTTGGATTACGATGATGTGGTAACGATAGTTCGTTAATTGAATTGACAGAGATTTTCTTAAGTTTCAATGTCAGAAAATTGTCTTGGAGTCAATAGGACACCAAATTTAGGTAAACTTATTGGACGTAACAGAAGGAATCAATAGATAAGATCGAGACATTGTCATCAGAATTCTGCCTTGCAGCGCACCATTCCCTTTGTGGCAATCACTATTCTTTACACCATTTACGTGCGATGTTAGAGGTTGCTGCGAAAAAAGGTGGTTTTCATCTAACATCTATTTATGTTAATGTCTGTTTTTCTGCTACATAATCTGCAAATTCATACTACAACAGCTGTCGACTTTCCTGGTTTGAAATCGAATTATTCAGGTGCCAGTGTGGATATAGATTTAAGGAAACTCATCAGATGTCCAAATATTTTGGATGATGCAGGTAATATGTATTAGTATTTTACTGTATTAAATCCGCAAAAATCGCTATAGAAACTTTGCTAAAGATAAATAAATAGGTCGACTATTATCATCGGGTATTTACGAAATAACAGAAGTACACAACGTGTGATTCGAGAAGTAATAAAAAGCTGTTACACCTAACACTGTTTCTCCATTTCATCTTTCTAGTTTATTTAGCAGGCCAGAAACAGAAACAGTGTTGAAAACTTTAGCAAAATCTATAGGCACAATATTTCTATTAACATGTATTTTTCTTGCTACATGATGTGCCGATTTAAAGACTACACCACCTGTCGACTTTCCCGGTTTGAAACTAAATTATTTAGGTGCCAGTGTGGATATTGCTTTTAGGCAACTCATCAGATGTTCAAATATTTTGGATGATGCAGGTAATATGTATTTTACTGTATCAAATCCGCAAAAATCGCTATAGAAAGTTTGCTAAAGATAAATAAATAGGTCGACTATTATCATCGGGTATGTCTTTCTTCCCGATTTTTCAGAAGAAAATAAAACACTCACCGTACCCACGCAGTTTAGGAATATTGTGATGTAGCACTGTGCAAGTTCGATGAAACCCACTACCCCAATGCTGGTTATGAGAAACCAAGCGCAAACGTAAAATGTGAGCGTCCACGTGACAAATAAAAACTTGCGGCCCCTGAATGGGTAAGGGGACACGTTCTCCCCGAACACTGCGTAGGGCCAGGTGTCCAGGTAGTGCATCAGAGAGCGCACCTTCATCATGTACCACAGCTGCGTCGGGGACTCCCCACCACTGTTGATGTATTGTTTCTTATAAATGTTACAGTTTCTTACGGAGTGTTATTTTCTGATCATGACTTTGAAAGGAGACAGTTCAAAGTATGGAGGGTGGTAGTGAGTCTCCGCAGACTCCAAATTGCTAATATATAATAAATAGTGCACTAAATTTATTGTTAATCGTTTCACAAAAAACTAGAATTTATTTTATCCTCTTTTTAGGGTTCCGTTAGTCCTGTCAAGGAAACCTTATAGTTTCGTCATTTCCGTCTGTCTGTCAGTAGAGATTCGTTTGCGAAATATTGAACTTTAAAGTGCTAATGTTTGTTCGAGTAGGGCGTCCCCCTCCCTCTAAAGTATTTTCTTGAAAATCCTAGAATAATGCTTTTCATGAACTTCTAATGAAAATTATATCAGATAGATTTATTACTTTGAGTAATTTACTTTACTTATGAGTAATAGTCGTTCAACTAAGGTTATAGAAAATTTCTTACCTACTGAAAATTCCTTGAAAGAAAACATTAATGTGACATATATGAAGTTATGAAAAGTGACATAGATGAAGTTATGGTAGCGTATAATCTTGCCTTGAAAAACAAAATCTAAAAAAAACTATTTATAATCCACAATAAAATATCATTACTTTCCCAAAGCTACCACGAGTACCTACGGCTCGAATTCTGAATCGCGCTATCATTACGTTTTTATAAAGAACTAGTTGACCCCTCGGACTACTTACACTATACAATAAAAGATCATTAGCAAACTGCAAGACTTTAAATTCAAGATTTACATAGGTCATTGTTTGTGCCGTATTTAAATTATACAGCATGGGAGACAGACAAGCTCCCTGCATTAATCCTTTACAAAATTTACTAGGTCCATGAATAATAGTATTATATTTTACATACGGAGTTCGATCATTCAGAAAATTATAAATCCATTGTATTCATTTAAATCATACAACACTTGAAATAGGTAATCTATATCAACATTGTCATATGCACCCTGAACGTCAAGAAACGCACACTGCCTGGGATCGAGCATATAACAATTTTTCATGTCAAATATATAGCTAACAAAGCTCTTAGACGAACTACGTCCTTTACGGAAGCCAAATTGATTATAAGGTAAGATACTATTTGATTCTATGAAAAGATCTAATCTTGCTTTGAGCATTCACTCAAAGAGCTTGCCCACACAAGAAGACAATGAAATAGGTCTGTATGATTTGTGATCACCTGTTGGTTTGTCTGGATTTAATTTTATAATGATACACACAGTTTTCCATGATTCGGGAACTGCCTGATTTTCCCATAGTGAACTTTATGTATATATTTAATAGTACGATTTTTGCTGTTATGTATAATTTCTTTAACGGTTATACATTAGGAATATTATCTAGGCCTGGGGCTGTATCTTTTTTTTTTTTTTTTACACTTACACCAATTAGCCTAGCCCCAAAGTAAGCACTGTGAGGCTTGTGTTATGGGATGCTAGAGTAACGGATAGAATACATATACAGTACACATATAAGTATATTTATATCGAAATACATATGAAACATCCATGACTGGAGTACAAATGCTCATATTCATCACACAAACATCTGCCCCCACCGGGACTCGAACCCGGGACCTCTCGAGTCGGCGACACCATGAAACCCGGCGTACAAACCACTCGACCACGGAGGTCGTCCAAAATCTTTTCTAGATCTAAGGGCTAAAATAAGCTCATTTAAGTCAAATGCTTTCAATAAATAACTATTGACCGTATTAAGGTTGAAACTATTTTTGTAAAAAAGAAAATCGTTTTATCAGATCTATTTGCATTCTCTGGTTCAGAAAACTTTTAAATAAACCGTGGAATCTAATCATATTTTTTTGAATAAACTCTATAACACTATTTACTGCTCACTTGAATCGTCACATATCTATACTAATACAAATATTATAAAGCTACACAGTTTGTTTGTTTGTTTGAACGCGCTAATCTCTGGAACTACTGGTCCGATTTGAATGATTCTTTCAGTGTTGGGTAGTCCATTTATCGAGGAAGGCTATAGGCTATATTTTTTTTTTTAAATTAGGGATCCGTAATGAAATTGCTATTTTGTAACACAAGGTGTAAAATCGAAAACCTATTTCTGCGTGCGCTGCAAAAACTATTGATAATAGAACAAAATGATGTACTACGGGTTTGTAGATCCTATTAAGACCTACAAAAAAGTCCGCGAGAACTATATATCTAGCTATCATGGTTTAATCACAATAACCGATTTTGTGTTCAAAATAATTATTAAATCGTCTGAAGAAAAAAGACTACGTTAAATATGTATCGTAATATTAATCTTTATCCAAATTAAGCATTATGTTATCAAGAGTATTTATGTAGAAGTAAAATACTTTTTGTTTCATTTCAATCGGATATTTCGTTTAAAAGTTATCACGTGTGTAAGATGTTAAGAGTTGGTACCTATTAATGCGTTATGGGCCGTAGAGTTTTTTATCAACATAAAATCCTGTAATAATCTTTTTCGAAATATATTTGTTGATGATTGTAAGTATAAGATCTTTGAAGAGTAATCGAGTGAGAATAAACGAGAAAAACGCGGGTGAAACCGCGGGACACGGCTAGTATTTCCATATTTGTGAAACAGGAGTGTACCTATTAAAGGATTCACATAAGCTGATGTAATGTTACTTACATTACATCAGCTTATCTATCTAATGTCATATTACTTCTGTATCTTTTCAGGGCATCTCTAGAGTTTCTAACAGCATCTGCACACTTACTGTTCCACCAGGGGGCTCAGCTACGACTCAAACAGCTGCTTTTTTATTTTTGGAAATAGGTACGCATTCTTTCTTTAATTTATCTATCAACCAATAGAAGTGGTCATAGGACTTTAAAGGGGTTTCTTTGTTCAATTCAAAATTTTCAAAATACTCTTTAAAGAAAAACTTTGGCCAATCTGCTTTGTGAAAAATATGCCTCTCATTTGTATCACCTACTTGGTAAACCAACGGAGAAATATTTATGTCTATGAATGTTGGGTAATGGATGCTACCTAGGGGGTCATCGCCCACTCACCACTGATTTAGTACTTTAGTACTTTGACAGCCAAAAGCAATATGCGCATTTAAACCTCCTGAAACTGGGCATAGTTTAGGTATAATATTCATTATTTTTTTAACTTATTAATATTGAATCTTATTTCATTTCCAGGAGGGCACTACGAGCCTAAAATAGATATGAGACCCCTATCAGTGAAAAGGCATAGAATAGTGATTTGGCCGAACTTTAATGTGTCTTTTAATAAGATGCCTACACCACCACGTCTTTAGCATTATTACAGATAAAATTGTAACCCAAAAATCTTATTGAAGCTGTCTTTTTTAGCCAAGTCTTATTTAACAACAATACATCAATGTCATGATCTTGTAGGAAACTGATTACCAAGGGTCTTTTACTTATTATACTCTGAACATTATGCTGAACAATTTTTAAAGATTTCATTGTGACTTCTTTTAGGACTTCCAGTGTTTAAGAAAAACTTATTCAATATTTTTTTGTTGTTTTAATTGTATTTGTATTACCCAAAGCCACTAGTAAATAATAATAAAATACATATTTGTTTCTTAGGTTTTCACGCACATCACTCATAAAATAAAAATAGTTTTAACGGATTAATGCACGAAACTTTATTTATTTATTGACGTTTCACAGTTTTTTCAGGCTGCTTCGTCGAGAAGGTAGCTCGACAAAATTAAATAAATAAAGTTTCGTGCATTAACCCGTTAAAACTAGTTTTATTTAATAAAATACATAATTCAAGCACGAGCAAAACTATAGTCTGTCTACACTTCAGCTCTACACCGAAGCGAAGCGAGGGCCGGCTATTAAGGCTACCATTCACAGGCGCGCCCATCCGCCGGATTTGTCGCTGGCGACAAGTCCGCGGACAAATCCGCGTGTGAATGTGGTGAGCGCGGCTCGCGGCTCGCGTCTCTTGACGGCCAGCGGCGCGCCGCACCCCAGCCGCGCCGTAAAAGTCCGTACGTGTGTGTGCTTTCACAGATTTATCGGTGAACTTGTCAGTCATTTGTAGTGCGTGCACGCAGAACCACCTCTAAACTTGTTAATTCTGTATTACATACATATATACTTTTTTGACGTTTATGCGATAGTGTTTTAAGTCAAAAAGTTGAACATAATACGCATTTAAGTTGATATCAAGTTAATATCATTTTAAAGAGTTGATCATAATACGCTTAATTTGATGTCATTTTAATATCGCATTTTTCGGAGAGCATAATACGTAATGTGAAATTGACATCAAAACAATATCACAATTAGCGAACAAAAAGAGCTAATTGTATCTCTTCTACAAGGGGTTTATCTCTTCTACGCATGTCCTCGGCATGAGCACGTTCTAAATAGTCCATTACTAACACGAAACGAGCCATTTTACTCTTTTTTATTAAAAAATAAAGGAATTCGATACAGAAAAACCACCTCCTAACTTGTTAAGTCTGTATCACATTTTTGACGTTTATTGCGATACTGTTTTATGTCAAAAAGTTGAACGTAATACGTATTTAAGTTGATATCATTTTAAAGTTGATGTCATTTTGATATCGCATTTTTCGGAGAGCATATTGCGTAATGTGAAATTGACATCAAAACAATATCACAATTAGCAAGCATAATTGGCCTGCAGTTGTGTCCTTTGTATCACGAACGAGTAAACGAGCATAATAACATGTCGTTCGGCGATCATAAAGAGTTTTGGCAAGAATTTATCCTGCTGTTTAAAGAGAAAACTAAAGAGAAACAGGTGGTTTACAGGACTGAATGCATTGCAGCAATTTTAAATGAGTATATTTTGTTCGTTGTTTCAGCCATTCCTTTGTTCAGACGCTCTTTTTCTTTTTATTCTCCGTTAAAAGTATTGCACCGACTACTAAAGCGACTTTTGT